GGACCCAGCACCGCGGGGCGCAGCGGGTGGGCGGAGGGGCCGCGGCCAGTTAGAGACGGGCCCGGCCCGGGAAGCCCAAGAGCACCCCGGAGGGGCCTCATCCCTGGTCGTGGGGCGCATGCCGAACCCCCGGAGCTGGCGCTGCCCCTGCCCCTCCCCGCCGCACCCCCCCGCCCCCCGCCGCGAGGTGACTTCCAGTTTTCAGAAATGGCAGGCGCGGGTGGCGGCGAGGCCGTGGCGAAACAGGAAGCCCGTGGCCGGTGGGGACGTGGCGGGCTCAGCCCTGCAGCATGTCGCAGCCGCCGAGGCCCGTCCAGGCCCCTGCGGCCCGCGGCGTGAACACTCGAGGTGGAAGGGACAAAGGTCTGAGGAAGCCCAGAGGGCGCCTGGCACCAGCGGGGCGCGGGGCCGCTGGGCGAGTGATGGGGGCACCGGGGCTCCAGCGCTGCCCCAAAGCGCACACGTCAGAAAAGATAAGAAAGTGGAAAGAGAGGGGCGCCCGGGCGGCAGCGGGGGGCGGCAGCGGGGGGCTGCGCGGGCAGACAGGCCCGGACACCGCCGGCTCGGGCGGGGACGAGCCCTCAGGAGCTGGCCAGGCCCAGCGGCCGCTTTGCATGGACTTTGCATGCGGCCCCCTCGCCCCGCGGGCCGCCCTCCCGCGTCCTCTCACGCAGGCCCAGGCGCGGGCCGGGGCAGGGCGGGGCCGGGCAGCGCAGCCTGCGGGGCCGCCCTCCCGGGCGCCGCACGGCGACCCTCAGCCTCCAGCTTCCCGGCCGTCCTCGGACGTGGAGGGACCTGGTGCCCACCCCGCGTGGACAGGGATATGTCCGTCCTGAGGCCCGGCCCGGCCCGGCCCGCTCTCTGCGGGGACCGGGCATGGCAGCTGCGATGGCCAGGAGGCCCAGACGGGGCCTGGCGAGCTCAGGGGTCCCTGCCTGCTGGGCAGCCTCACCCCTTTCCCTTTCAGAGAAGGGCCACGGGTGGGGAGGCAGGGCGGGGAGGCCTGCACCCCAGCCCCGCCCTGGAAGGGCACCCACTGCGTCCAGAGCCTGCTGGAAGGCGCCCAGCCCCTCGGGAGGATGCCCTCTGCAGGCCCAAGCACTGGGCAGCGCCTTGGGGGGCCCCGGGTCCTCGCAGACCAGGGTCTGGGCCCTGCAGGGCCTGCTGGGCTGGGCCTTGCCACCCCGGCCCCTGGCGGGTGGGGGGGGCGGGGAGCCCCGCGGCCGCGGCGGGCAGCCAGGAGGGCTGGGCACTCGCTCCCAGGGAGGCCTGCGGGTCCTGGTCAGGGGTCTGTCCCCCACTGGGCTCCTGGAGCACAGCTGAGGTCACGGGGTCCCTTTCCGTCGGAGGGGGTGAGGGCCGAACCCCAGGTGCCCCTGAGGCCCCAGGGTGGGGTGGGGGCCTCCTGGGGGGGCTGGGAGAGCGCAGCAGCCGCAGCCCGTGACCGTGGCTCCCCCATGGCCGCTGGGAGCTTCTCCCTGGGGGTGTGGGGCGGCTCCAGGCCCCGGAGGGGTGCGGCTCCGGCAGTGGCAGAGGGACTCTGGGCAGGCAGGCGGGCGCCTGTGGCGCCCACACCCCACAGGAAGCCCCGCCAGGTGGGGGTCCCTCTGCCTCTCTGCCCCCCATCCCGGTGCCTGGCTCAGCCCGTGCCCCCACAGCCACACACAGGCGGGCGCCGCCAGAGGGTGGGCCGGGCGGCAGGACCTCCTGTCCCGGAGCGAGAGGGGGGGCAGCCGTGGGGGTCTGTCCTCGGTGGCCCGGCCGCCCTGTGGGGCTCCGGCCGGCGCTCAGGGCACCCGAGGGCGTCCTCAGCGTGTGGGGGAGGGTGGACCCCGCCGCCGGCTGGTGGGGGCCGCCTCTGGCCAGAGAAGAGGGGAGGCCTGGGGCCTGGGGGGCCTGGGCTCGGGCCCACCCCCTTTGCTGGGCTCCCCGCCGTGCCCTCTGCCCCCTCCCCATCCTGGGCTCCCAGGCCTCCGCCTCCCCCGACCTCGGGCGTCTGGTCCAGGTCCCCGGGGTGGGGGGGCTCCTGTGGTCCCCGAGGACGGCCGCCACCCAGGGGTGCGCCGGGCCCAGCGTTTCCGCGTTGTGGGGCGGAGGGGCCAGCGCCTGGCGGGCCGGCCGGCGGCTGCGGTTGCGGGGCGCCCTGGGGCGGCGGGGCCGCTCGCCCTCTGCCTGCGGCCGGCGGGGAAACGGAAGTGGGGGGGCCTCGCCCGGGAGCCGGGGCGCGCCCGCCCCAGAGGCCGCCTCGCCGCCCGGAGCAGCTGAGGTTGGACGGGGCGCAGGTTCCCGGCGCCGGGAGGGGGTCCGCGGGTCCCGGCCGAGGCGGGCGCGGGGCGGCGAGGGGCGCAGGTCGGGGGCCCGGCCCGGGCGGGTCGGCCCGGGGTCGGGGGCTGGGGGGCGCGGCGGGGCGGGGCGGGGCCGGGGCGGGGCGGGGCGGGGCGGGCGCGGGGGGCCGGGGCGGGGCGGGGCGGGGCGGGGCGGGCGCCGGGGGCCGGGCCAGCGCCGCGCGGGGCTCAGAGGCGCGCGGCGGCCGGCGCGGCAGGTAGGCGCGGCCGGTGCCCGGGAGGTCCGGCCCCCCGCCCCGAGGCCCCCGCGGGCCGGGCCGTCCTGGGGCGCGGGGCGCACGTGCCGCCGGCCGGCGCGGGGCGGTGCCCGGGTCCCCTCGCTCCTCCCCGAGCGCCGAGCCTGCGGGGCGCCCCGCGCCGCCCGGACCTCGAGAGTCCGCTGGGCTCGGCCTCGCCCGCCCCCGGCCCGGCGGGCTCGGGCCTCGGCTGACCGGCCGGAGCGCGCGGGAGCCGGGGGGCGCGGGGCGGCGGGGCCCGGGCAGCCCCGCGTGGGGTCGTGCCCGCCGGGTCCGGGGCGCGGGCGCCGAGGCTCCGGGTCCCGGGCTGCGCGCGGGGGCGGCGGGCGGCGAGGGGTCCCGTGGCGGGGCCCAGCGACCCGGCGGGCGGGGGGCGCCGAGGCGCGCGGAGAGGCCGCCCGGGCGCGCCGCGGGGTCCGGGGGTGCCCCGGGGCCCGGCCGACTGGGCCCCGGCGGGGGCGGGTCCGCGGGGCAGGTCCGGGGCTGCGCTGCCCACCGGCCCGCGGGGCGCGCGCTCCGGGCCAGTCGGCGGCGCCTCCCCGCGGTCACGTCCCCCACGTCCCGGCCGGGCTGGCGGGCGGGGCTGGCGGGCGGCGGGCGGGCCGCGTCCTGCCTCCCCCTCCCGCTCCCCCTTCCCCCGCGGCCGCCCCTCCCCCAGGGCCGCGCCCTGCCCACCTGCGCCCCCAGGCCCGTCTCCCGCAGGGCCCATGGCACCTGCGGCCGGTGGGGGGCGGGGGCGCCCCCGGCCGGGCGGGGCTCCCGGAGCTGGGCGCGGCCTCCGGAGGCTGCAGGCCCGAGTCCGGCGGCCACGCTGGAGGGCGGCCTGGGGAGCCCCTGGGGCGCCCCGCGGCCGGCAGGAAGGGGGCGGGCTGTCCGGACAAGCGCCCTGGCCCAGGCAGGCCGCAGCCCTTGGGGGCCGCGGGACCCGAGGGGCAGCCGGCAGGCCGGCGTGGGAGCCTCCCGGGAGATCGGCTTTCCCTGCCCCGGGGCGCCTGTCCGGGCGGGGCGCCTGGCTCGCGGCCCGGCCAGGCAGGTGTCACCAGAGGCCAGTGCCGGGCGGTGCCCAGAGGTGCCAGCACGCCCTCGCCGCCAGCCGCGGGGCTCCCCGAACCTCAGCCAGCGGAGGGAGCCGCGCACCGCAGCCTCTCCAAGGTGGGGGTGTGCCTGCCCCCGTCCCCCGTGCGCGGCCCGACGGGGGACGCTCCTTTGCCCCAAACTAGAGACCCCTTTCTCGCGACGCCCGGTGGGGCCGGGCATGCCGGGGCCACTTCTCTGGCTGGCACCCGGCTGGGGTTAGCAGCACCTCTGGGTCCTGGGGGTGGGAGTGGGGACTGTGCTGGGCCCCCGGGGGGAAGCAGCTCGGGGAGCCCCATGCCCCACCGGTGGCCAGTGCCTGCCTCCGGAGGATCCCAGAAGCCTCCTGGGAGGGCCCCCGAGGGCAGCGTGGCTGGTGCGTCCAGGGCGGCCACTCCCCAGGCCCGGGGTTGGGCTCCCGCTGCTGGGCATTCGGGCACGCCCTCCGGGCCCTGCCAGGATGGAGTCCCGAAGCGCCCCCACCCAGGCCCAGGCTGTGGCCGTGGCCCACAGGGTTCCTGCAGCCCCTTTTGTTTTCAAGCCTCCAGTTCCTCGGGGACCCTAGAGCCTGCTCCTCCGGGCCGCGCGGTCAGAGGTAGGGCTGGGGTGCGGGGGCAGGAGCCAGGGCGCGGCTGGAGGACGCGCCACCGCAGCCGGCGGCCCTGTCATGGCGCCAGCAGAGCCCCCAGTCCCCAGCTGGAGGGGAGGGGCCGGGGCCATCTCCACTCTCCAGGGGGGTGCGGGCCTCTACAGGGGGCCCGGGAGGAGGGGCGGCGGGCGGCAGGGGACTCCAGCAGACTCACAGGCCAGGCCTCTGATGCCGGCGGTGGGGGACGGGGCTCCAGTGGGCACCTGCCTGCACCTGGCACGAGGCTTCTGTCCCGTGAGGCGTGCCCAGCCCCCACTGACCTCTGGCTGGGGGGTGTGGTCAGCACCCGCGGGGGTCGCTGGCCCCTGGCCGCTCCGGCCACAGACCAGCCGGGATGGTGGAGCCCGGCCCCTCCCGGGAAGGTGGCACCTGCCTCCAGGGGGCTGCTCTGCTGCCCCCCAGGCTCAAGCGGCGCAGGATGGGGGCTGCTTCCCCACCTGGCCGGGCGGGGGTGGGGTTGGGGGGAGGCGCGGGGGTGCCGCTGGTCCTCCAGGGCTGCCCTCCTGGGGCGGTAACCCGAGTACCAGCTGAGCCCAAAAAAGCCACTGCCCTTTAGACCGTGAGGGTGAGGCCTGGGGGGGGCAGGGGGCCCGGCCAGCAGCCGCGGGCGAGGGCGCAGGGAGGGGCGTCCCTGTCCGCACGCAGCCGACACCCGCCCCCGCCGTCTTCCAGGGACACAGGACCGGCCCTGCTGCCATGGGCGGCGCCGTGGTGGACGAGGGCCCGCCCGGGGTCAGGGCCCCCGACGGAGGCTGGGGCTGGGCCGTGCTCCTGGGCTGCTTCGTCGTCACCGGCTTCTCCTACGCCTTCCCCAAGGCGGTCAGCGTCTTCTTCAAGGAGCTCATGCGCGAGTTCGGCATCGGCTACAGCGACACGGCCTGGGTGTCCTCCATCCTGCTGGCCATGCTGTACGGCACGGGTGAGCTGAGCGCCGTCGCGGGGGCAGCCCCGCCGGGCCGCAGCCTGGAAGCCGTCCCTCCCTGTCCGGGGAGCGCGGCGCGGGGCAGGGCGGGCGGGGGCCGGGCGCGGCGGGGCTGGCCCGGGCGGCGCGGGCGGCATCATCCTCCGCTCCCCGCAGGCCCGCTCTGCAGCGTGTGCGTGAACCGCTTCGGCTGCCGGCCCGTCATGCTGGTGGGCGGCCTGCTGGCGTCCCTGGGCATGGTGGCCGCCTCCTTCTGCGGGAGCGTCGTCCAGCTCTACCTCACCGCCGGGGTGCTGACCGGTGAGCGGGGCCCCGGGCAGGGCGGGCTCCCTGCGGGTCGGAGGCGCCTGGGCCCGCCGGCCTCACCGCCACCCTCCCACCGCAGGCCTGGGGCTGGCGCTCAACTTCCAGCCCTCGCTCATCATGCTCAACCGCTACTTCAGCCGCCGGCGGCCCCTGGCCAACGGGCTGGCGGCGGCGGGCAGCCCGGTGTTCCTGTGTGCCCTGTCCCCCCTGGGCCAGCTGCTGCAGGACCACTACGGCTGGCGTGGCGGCTTCCTGGTCCTGGGCGGGCTGCTGCTCAACTGCTGCGTGTGCGCGGCCCTCATGCGGCCCCTGGAGGCGCCCCCCGGCTCGGCACCCCCCGGCTCGGCACCCGGGTCTCGTCGCCCGCCCCGGCGGCTGCTGGACCTGAGCGTCCTGCGGGACCGCGGCTTCGTGGTCTACGCGCTGGCCGCCTCCGTCATGGTGCTGGGGCTCTTCGTGCCGCCCGTGTTCGTGGTGAGCTACGCCAAGGACATGGGCGTGCCCGACACGCAGGCGGCCTTCCTGCTCACCGTGCTGGGCCTCATCGACATCTTCGCCCGGCCGGCGGCGGGCGCGCTGGCGGGGCTCGAGCGGGTGCGGCCCTACTCCGTCTACCTCTTCGCCTTCGCCATGTTCTTCAACGGCTTCACCGACCTCACGGGCTCCACGGCCCGCGACTACGGCGGCCTGGTGGTCTTCTGCGTCTTCTTCGGCATCTCCTACGGCATGGTGGGTGCCCTGCAGTTTGAGGTGCTCATGGCCATCGTGGGCACCCACAAGTTCCCCAGCGCCATCGGGCTGGTGCTGCTGCTGGAGGCCGTGGCCGTGCTCATCGGCCCCCCATCCGGAGGTGAGTGCGGGGCGGGCGCCTGTCCTCCCTGGGGCGGGCCCAGCTGGCGGGGACGCCCCTGCCCATCGCCAGGTTGGCAGCCTCTGCCCAGCGGGCAGCCGGGCGGCCTGTTTGAAGGCTGATGGGACCCAGGGTGGATCTGGCCGCTGCCCTGGCCTGGCCCAGCTTCTCTGAGAGTCGGGTCTGGGTCTCGGGCTGGGCCTGGGGCCCCGAATCCCCAAACCCGCAGGCTGTGCCTCAGCTCTCTCCCTGCCCCCTCGAGGGTGGGGGCGCGGGCGCCCCAGTCCTCACTGTCCCGGGAGGCTCCTGCGGGCCCTGACGAGCCCCCCTTGCAGGCAAGCTCCTGGACGCCACCCACGTCTACCAGTACGTGTTCATCCTGGCGGGCGCCGAGGTGGTGGCGGCCTCGCTGGTGCTGGTGCTGGGCAGCCACTTCTGCGTGGGCGCGGGGCCCGTGGCGGAGGCGGAGGCGGGGCAGCAGGCGCACCGCCAGCCCCCGGAGCCGGAGCGGGACTCGCGGGAAGTGGAGCGCTTCCTGAAGGCAGAGCCTGAGAAAAACGGGGGGCCGAGGCCCGGGCCCCCGAGACCAGTGTGTGAGGCCGCCGCGGCGCCGCAGCCCACGGAGGCGGCAGGGCCGGGGCGACCCGGCAGGGGCGCCGTGCCGGGCCGGCAGGAGGAGCGGCCGGGAGGCGCCCGAGGCTCAAGGACCAGAGACCAGGCTTGGCAGACAACGCGACTTTAATCAGCGGGGGCCGGCCCGCCGGCCTGCGCTGCGTCCCGCCCTGGGCCCAGCCCGCCGCGAGTCCTGGCGGCTCCCCCTCCAACGCGGCCTGGAATAAACCTGCGTGTGGGAGGAGCGTGAGCGTCCTCGGGCTGCCCTGCGCGCCGCGGGGCTGGGGTGCGGGCAGGGCCGTGCGGGAGCTGCCGCCCTGGGGCCGGGGCCAGCGCCCGCGGGTGTCTGCCCCGACCTCCTCGCCCAGCCCTCACACCCACCTGCCCTTGTGGCCAGCGCGGCCCGCGTGGCCAGCGCCCGTCGGGGGCCGCCGGCGCCTCAGTAGGTGGTGCGTCGTGGGCGCTGGGGGCGGCAGCGGGTGCCCTGGCGGGCCGTGTGCAGCCGGAGAGACGCCACGTCCCTGCTCCTCTGCAAGGAAAAGCAAGCGAGACTCACCCGGGGCCGGCGCCTGCGCCTGCGCAGCCCCAGCCCCTCCCCGCCCCTGCTGGCTGCCCGCGGGAGGCGGCGGGCCCTGCTCTCGGGCTGGGCGTGCCCCACCCGGGGCCTGTGGCCGGCTCGCTGCGGGGACCGGGCAGCTCCCGGGCCCACGCGCTCCAGTTCCCTTCTCTTATGGAGCCTGACGGCTGCCGCCGACCAGCTGCCCTGGGCTGGGAGGGCCGAGAGGCCGCCTCGCTCTGGACTGGCTGTGAGGCAGGTCAGGGTCAGCCCCCTGGCCCCTGCCGGCCGGAGCACGCCCTCCTGTGCACGCCACCCCAGGCTCCGGGACACGATGCCGAGGGGGGCGGCAGGGGCCTGCCCAGGGGGAGCGGGGCGGCAAGGGGAGGCCCAGCTGGGCACTGGAGGGGGCTCCGGCGCGAGGGCCGGCAGGGCCCGGGCAGCTCTGGCTCGTACCGGGCGCAGGAGGCAGCCGACTACCGTCCCCTCTGCGGCTGTGAGGGACTCTGGAAGGTGCCCCCGGGGTCCCGCGGCAAGGGGAGAAGGAACGGGCCCTGGAAGACGTTGGGCGCCGACCCAGGACCGCCCTGCACTGCCTGCGAGCGGGAGGCCCGACCCACACAGGCAGATGGCACACGTGGGCGAGGGTCACCATGAGCACGTCCCCAGCAGGGGGGGGGGGGCCGAGGCCAGAGGTCAGCTCAGGGCGCGGCCGCGGGCCCTGCCCCCGGAAGGCCAGTCCTGCCCACCGGGGGAGGCTCCTTGGTGTGGCCCGGGTCCTTCCTCCCCACCCAGGCCCCCGGATCTCCGGGGAGGGGAACCCGAGGCCGAGGCACGATGCAGACGCCAGGGCAGGTGGCCGCGGCCAGGTCCCTCAGCCCTGCCTGCCACGGGAGCCACCCACTGGCCAGGAAAGCCCGCGGGCGCTGCCCACAGGGAAAATGAAGACCGGAGGCGGGCAGGGCGGAGTCCTTGGGAGTTTATTATTTACACGCCGTCAAGTACACAGACACAGTGGTTACACGCGTGCCGACACGCCGACACGGCTGACACAGACACTCTAGCTACGCGACCTGCAGTGTGATGGGGCCACGCCGTCCCCGGGCCCGAGGCAGAGGGGCCTGGAGCCACCGTGGGCCGGGCCCCCACCGGGCTCACGGCCAGCTTGGTGGCCAGGCAGGACACCCCAGGACTGCGTCCGCAAGCAGGGTGGCGGGGGCGCCGGCCCCAGGCCAGGCCGCAGGGGGCTCCCGGCACACGGCCCCAGAGGGTCTTTCTGGCCATGCTGGGCCCCGCCCCACTTCTCGGCCTCCGTGGGGCCACAGGTGCCCGGGCCACTCCAGAGGCTCCCAGGCCGCCGGTGCCGAGCGAGGCGCGTCCCGGGTTTCGACGCAGACGAAGAGCTGACGTGCGCGGGTGAGGAGACTCAGCCTGTCCACAACTCTCCCGGCTCAAAGGCATCAGGGCGACGCAAGACCAGCACCTCACGTGCCCGGGGCCTCCGCCCCGACACAGCAGCTCCTGAAGCACCGCTGCGGCCACTCGCTGCCCAGCCGGCCGGGGACGGAGGGGCCCAGCAGAGCCTCGGCCACCGCGCAGGCCCGGCCTGGCCGCTCGGGTCAACGCCTCTTCTCAGACCGTGACAGACGAGAGAGAAACAATAAAAAGATTTCTTTACACAGATTTAAGCCAGTAATTTTTAGCAAAATGATACAAAACTGTCTTAACGAGTCGAAGGCGGTGGTCGCGGGGCCTCGCGGGCGGCGGCCAACCCGGGGCGAGAGGCGTGGCTGGCCTCGGGCTCTGTGTCTCGCGCCCCCGGCTCTTCCAGCCCAGGGCGGGCGCGGAGTCTGGCGTCTAGTTTGTGTGTGGCCCGCGGGCGTCGCTGGGTGTGCCTGGAGCGCTACGGGGCGAGCCACTAGCAAAGCCATTGTAACAGAGGAGTCAGCCATGCATGTCTGCCCTTCAGCACACGAGCGTCTCACCGGTGCACCACGGGCTGGAGACCGCTGGACGCCGCCCGACCGGGAATCTGTCGGAGCCAAAGCACAGGACAAGGTCAGCGTGAGGCCAGCAGGCCGGCGGGCTTGGACACACACCACGGCGGCCGCCCAGCTCCGCTCCGGACACGCGCGCCCCCGGCTGCTCCGCAGGGCCCGCGGTGGCCGGACAGCGCTCAGCAGGACAGGGACAGCGGCGGGAGAGGCATGCAGGCGGGCTGCGCGGCAGCTCGAGGACGCGCAGACCGGAGCCGGGCCTTCCGGAAGGCGACCTGCTTTGAAGACGGGGCCTGGCCCGTGCGGGCGCTGGACGCCCTCGGGCACGACGGGAAGAGCCGTCCCACGAGGCCCGAGCGCGCCGCGGAGGCAGGTGCGGTGCGGCGGTTAGTACAGACGACAGCTGCGCGGACGAGACGCGGGCAGAGACCCAACTCGCAAGAGAAGCAACACAGAACCAACGAGAGAGACGGCCAAGCCAGGGCGGCGGCCACCGCCAGCATCCCCGGAGCGGAGCGTGGAGTGGCCACCAGGCGTGGCCACGCAGGGAGACGGCAGGAGGCAGTGGTGTGACCGGCCACCCCCGTCTGGGGCTCCTGTGGACAGCTCTCCCGGGCCGGGCCACTGACCGCAGCTGCGCTGAAGCCGCAGGCGCTGGCATGCAAGCCCACGGCCCGCACCCAGGCGGCAGCTGGTCAGCTCCCCGGCCGGGCGGCTGTCTGCCGGACCCTCAGAGCACACTCACCGGTGCCGCCTTCTGACGGGAGACGTGCCGCTACTTGCCGTGGTGCTCGAAAGGAATGCTATTCTGAGGTGGGAAGAGACAGCTGTCGTCAGGCTAACGGGTCGGCCGCACGGCGGCCCTTTTGCCTCCAGAGGTGCCTCCTCGTTGCCCGGCCGGCCGCCAGCACCGCAGGGGAGGCTGGGAGCCGCTGGGGACCCAGCCTAGTCGCTCTGCGGAGGGTCTGCAGCGAGGCCCCGAGTGGCTCCCCTGTGCCCAGGGGCTCTCCGCACCGACGCGGCTCCACCGAGGCCTCGCCCGCCGCCTGGGCAGGAGAGGGAATGGCCACCTCTGCGACTTGGGGACGGGACACATCCCTTGTGACAAGAGCAGGAGCTGCTGCCGCCCCTTTGGGGGGCACAAGAGCCAGCGCTGGGTACCCGAGCAGCATCACAGCACGGAGATGGGGAGAGCAGGTCCACCCAGTGACACCCTCAGCCCCGCTGTCTGCCGGAGGTGCCGGCCCGCGGAGCAGCGGCGACCGGCTGGGGGCGAGACCCCCGAGAGCAGCGACAGCCAGGGCAGGGCCGCACCTCGCTCCCCTCGAGGACACAGCGGCCACCGGGAAGGGCCGCGCCGGCCTCCAAGTCCGCGGACACCCTACGCCAGAGGCCCCTTGCGGCGAGTGTGAACTGGGGCTGCCGTGGCAGTGCGGGGCGCCATAGAAGCCCCTCGCCTGGGTCTCAGCCTCTCGCCACAGGCCGGAAAGGCTGCGGCACGAGGAGTTCTAGGAGATTCCCCGCAGGACCAGGGACCGGAGCAGGTGCCCTGCGGGACACCAGAGCCCGCCCCTCAGGAGACCCGACTGCCCAGCCCGCGGGACCAGCCCCCCTCCCCCATGGCCCCACCTGGCAGACGCCTCCTCTCCCGAAAGCCAGCCCAGCCCGTCCCGCCCGAGTCCCCACACGCAGACGCCCGGGCTAGACAAGGCCACGCTCACGAGGTCTCCCCCGACGCGTCCAGGGCCTCAGTGCTGGGCCCGCTGACCAGATGGCCCCTTCCTTCAGTGGGGAGAGGCCAGGACAGGTGCCATGGAGACTGACCTCGCCGTAGGGGGTGCACCTTCGGTCTGGCACCAGGTCGCCCCCGAACGCAAGCTGCCCCCACCAGAAACACAGAAAAAGTTGGGAGCAGCCCTTGGATGCCCAGGGCCGAGCCCGGGCGCCTGCACGGACCTGTGGCTTCCTGACCAACCACTCCTCCCATGCCTGGCCCGGCACGGGAACCGCGGGCAGCAGTGAGCAGCAGTCCAGCCGGGGAAGGCTGGCCTACTCCCAGAACGCCGCCTGGCAGATGCCCAGGGACAGTCAGGACGCCGGCGCGGTAGGGCAGGCACCCCCATGGGGATCGTGCCCAAGGCACCCTGAGTGCAGTCCGGGGAGGTCAGCATGTGCGAAGAGTGTCCTGCCGAGGGGGCGGCGGGGGGGGGGGGGGGGGGCGCGCGAACGCAGCCGCTGGGCTGAGCCCATTTCCACAGGCACAGATGCACCACGGGGGCGCGGAAGACTAGGCCTTGGGCCCAGGGGCGGCACTGGGCAGTGACTGCCAGAGCACGCCGCAGCGAGGCCGCGACAGGGAGCGAGCGCCGGTCAGCTCGGACAAGGGAGCAGCCCACGCACCGCTGCCCTCGGCCGCGCCCGCAGCCATCCCGACCCCGGCAGAGCAGACACAGAGGGACACGGCGACCCCCCCGGCCCACGCACCTGCGAGGTGGACATGCGGGAGGCGTCCTGCCGGCCTGTGAGGTCAGACGAGGACACGTTGACGGGGGCGCCGCGGTGCAGCCGCATGCTCACCTTCCGCTCGCGCTCCACGCCGGACACGGGCCGCGGGGAGGTGTTGGCTGGGACGGGACGGGCGCTGGTGAGGCCTCGGCTGGCTGGCCCGGGAGCCCCAGGACATGCGGCTGGCCGGGGGGCGGCCACCAAGGGGGGCTCTGGAGGAACGCGCCGCACAGGACCCAGCCCTAGGAAAGGGGCGTCCAGGGCCGCCCACCATATGCTCGGGGTGTGCTGGGGCCCCGGGGCACTCACCTGTGTGTGAGGTAGGGGTGAGGGGAGTGGGCGGAGCCGCGTCCTGTGTGCCCCTCAGCCGGCCCGAGGCCGTGGAAGGCAGCCCGCGGGGGGCGGGGTTGCGGGAGTGTCTCAGCCGCTCCTCCCGGTCCCGGCGCTCCCGCTCAGCATCGTCGGCTGCCCGGCTGGCTCCCTGTGGAGAGGGTGGGACAGCTGCAGGGGGCGTGGAGAACCCGTCCCCACTCTTGGCTGCTGGACAGGACGGTTGGCCTCGGCCCCTGCGGCAGAGGGGCCGCCCTGAGCCCAATGCTGCCCGGCTGGGGTGCCTCCCCGGACACCACAGGGACCGGTTCCGGGGGTAGAGGTGGGTCTGACCTGGACAGTCGGGGCCACCCCAGGACGGCAGTGCCTGTGTTCCAGCGAGGCCCGCCAGACCCGGGGCATCGGGTGTGGGCACCTCCACAGCCCTCCAGGGCCACAGGCATGAGCAGCACCCCCCCACCCCCCCACCGCTGGCCCAAAGCTCCCAGGGCAAGGCGCAGAGCAGGGCTGCGGGGCAGCGGGCCTGGGTGCTGCTCTGGCCGAGGGGCAGCCTCAGTCTCCGGCACCACCGCCAGGGCAGTCCTGAGGGACCCGGGGGTCCTGCTGTGCAGTGCCTGAGAAGGAGCTGAGTCCCCGCCAGATCCCGTCACCCTGAAAGGACCGTGTCTGTTCTTAGGGTAACTGTGCAGCGCGAGTGTGCATGGCAGAGGGCACAGGGCCCGGCAGCAGGAGCTCTGGGCGATGCCTGGAGGGCAGGGACACGGAGGGTGTCTAGGACCTCCGCGCGCAGAGCACTGAGTCTCGGGAAACGACCTTTCCCCCAAAGCAGACAGCGAGCATGCCAGCACCCCAGGGTGCAGGGCGCGGGGGGCGGGGCGGGGCGGACTCACAAACTTGAGCATGTTCCAGTCGAACACGTAGTCGTAGGAGAAGCCCTGGCGGTGGAAGAGGTTCCTAAACAGCTGCCGCAGGTACGAGTAGTCCGGCTTGTCGTCGAAGCGCAGGGACCGGCAGAAATTGAGGTACGTGGCGAACTCGGCTGTGGAGCAAGCCGCGCGCACTCACCAGCGGCCCGGCCGGCCCGCCGCTCCTGCCGAGCCCGTGGCCACCAAGGGTCGGCCGGGCACGAGGCCCCCGGAGCCCCCCACCCCCTCTGGCGTCCGCAGGGAGGCCCCGCCCACCGGGACACGCACAGGGGTAGCCTTTGCAGAGGACCTCGATGGGCGTCGACATCTTCTTCTCGCTGATGCGCTCGTACTTCTGGCGCTTGGTGGCGGCCTTGAGGCCCTGCCACGGCAGGGAGCCCAGGTTGAAGTACATGAGCACGTAGCCCAGCGACTCCAGGTCGTCCCTGCGGGACTGCTCTGCAGAGAGGGAGGCCGGGTCAGGGCGGCTGCTCCCGGGAGAGGCCCCAGGGCCGCCCCGCCTGAGACCCGGGCCGGGCGCGCGCTCACCGATGCCGAGGTGCGTGTTGATGGAGGCGTACCGCGCCGTGCCCGTGAGGTTCTTGTTCTCCCGGTAGGGGATGTGCTGGTGGGTGCGGGCGTCCCGGTACTTCTTGGCCAGCCCGAAGTCGATGATGTACACCAGGTTGCCCTTCTTGCCCAGCCCCATGAGGAAGTTGTCGGGCTTCACGTCCCGGTGGATGAAGTTCTTCGAGTGGATGTACTCGATGCGGCTGATCTGCGGTGGAGACGCGCCTGAGTGAGGCCGGGGCCAAGAGGCCCGCGCCCGCCGCAGCCCAGACCCAACGGAGCCTGCTCTGACGGGCCGGCCCTCTGGGCCCGGAGGCCGATTCCCAAGGGCCCCGGCGCCGCGCGGCCGCTCACCATCTGGTCGGCCAGCAGCAGGACGGTCTTGAGGCTGAACTTGCGGGAGCAGAAGTTGAAGAGGTCCTCCAGGCTGGGGCCCAGCAGCTCCATCACCATGACGTTGTAGTCGCCCTCCGCCCCGCACCACCGGATGGTGGGGATGCCCACTGTGGGGGACACCGGTCAGGCCCTCGAGCGCCTGACAACGGGACCCAGGCGGACGCCACGAACACGCCGTGGCTCCCGCTCGCGCCATCACCTGCGGCCCCCCTCCCGGCGTGCGGCTTCTCCCCGGCGGCCGCCGTTGGCCCCTCGCCCCACCCCCCCGGCCAGGTGCGCCCCCAAGTCACGCCGGGCCGCACAGCAGCAGCACAGCCCCTGCCCCCCAGAGGCCGCTCAGTCACCTACATGCGCCGCGCCGCGCCAGCCCGAACTCGGGCACCCGCGCGGGAAGCAGAAGGTGTCGGATCCCGCAGCCCCCGCAGGAGGGCCCGCCGGAGACGCCCGCGCTGGACGCCCAGTCCGGGCCTCCCCGGCTCACGCTCACAGTCGGTCTCCAGAACAGACAGCCCCGTCTCGCGCCCAGGCCGGGCTCCTGCCAGGCGGAGCACCAGCCCCCACGGGAAGAGGCCGAGCAAGGGAAGCCGCCAGACGGGCAGGTAAACGACCCGCCGGAGGAAGGGCCACGGTCTCGGCAGGACGAGCAGCGCCCAGGTGGGGAGGCCGGTCCCGAGACGACCCCCGGGGATACTCCTCGGCCCCGTGAGGCTGCAGGAGAGACGCACGGAGACCGGGCGAGATGAAAGCCGGGAGCCGGGAGAGCCAAGCGCCCCGCCCCTCCGGCGTTCCGGGGCTGCGCGAGGACGGAGGCGGCCGGAGGCGGCCGGTTCCTCCTGCCCACCCGTACCCAGCGCCCCCCGAGCAGCAGGGCCGGGCTGCGGCCAGACCTTCCCTGAGAGTCGGGAGGGTCAGGCGTGCCCCCGACAGGGAAAGCCGCAGACGGACGACCCAGCCTGGCGCCCCGCGGCCGCGCAGCGGGAGGCACCCGGACTGGGCCTAACGGGCGCCGGGGAGACGGCAGCAGGAGGCACGAGTCGGGCCCGGCCTCCGGCCAGCGGAGGTTAAAGCAAAGGCAGAAAACGGAGTCGGGGCCCGGACGAGAGCCCGTCCCCGGAAGCCCGTGCCCGCGGGCGAGCCTCTCGTCACAGGAGAGGGAGAGAGGGCAACGCGGCCCGCGCGGGGAGAGGGCGCTGCCGGCCCGCGGGGCCCCAAAGCTGCCGGCGCCTAGGGAGCGACCCCGGGTTCTGTGCCCAGAGCCGGCAGCTTCATGCGGCAGACGGAGCCTCCGGGAGACACGAACCCGCTGCGGCAGCTCCTGCCTCGTCTCCCGCCAAAGGCACCTGGGGCTCGGCAGGCCTCTTAGCGGGGAACCCCGTGCCCACCACCCGCGTGGCCCGCGCGGTGACCCAGCAGGAACATGCCCAGCCTGGCTCCATCTCTGCCCGGTCGAGCCGGAGGCCAGCCCGTGCCCCGCAGCGCCGAGCCCGACGAGCCCCCTTCGTGGAGGTCAAAGGTGCTGACCCACGGCTGGGGCCCGATCAGCACTTTTCATTTTGACAGCGCGGCGTTTCGGGGTAACGTGGGGCCCAGCACACACGCCTGCGCGGGCCTTTCTCCAGGGCTCCACCCTCGTGGCACGGGCACCCTGCATGCCAATCTCACACGCAAGCATCTCCGACCAGGTCCTTGACTCTTAGCAGCAAGCTTCCCGTGGGCGGGGAGGACAGGGCACAGGCGAGGCAGGCAGCGCCTGGGAACCACCCGGGCCGCCCTGGCCTGCGGCAAGGGCTCACCATGGACATGAGCCCCACAGATTTCGTGACCTCTGGCTTGTAAAACGCATCCAGAGGGGCCTCCCTGGGGGCGCAGGGATCAGTCTCCCCACTGTGAAGCTATCACCAGCCGCTGCCGCCTGAGCTCGACCCCGGCCGGGCAGTGACCCACAAGGTGCGGCAGACCTCTCCTGTCTCCCTGCTGACCCCCTCAGCAGTGGATCCGCCTGCTCTGCTCCCCACTGTCTCTGGGGAGTCCTCGCACCCCCCACCTCTGGCCCGCACCCCAGTTCTTGGATGCGTAAATAAATCTCAGAGCAAAAACAACCAACCCACCTTGTGCTAAAGACACCGCATGTCTGACCAGGAAGGCGGGAGCCGGCCAGCAGGTCCGGGACGCGGGGCCCGTGGCAGGGCTGGCGTCCACCCTCGCCATCACAGGTCCCGCTCGCCCTGCTCCGCAGGTGCCCACCAGCCCTGGCCAGACGCGAGCCGCCACACACCTCTCTGAGGGCTCGCCAGGGCGGAGGCTGCCGCGGGGAGGCTGACTTGGGACGAGCCGCTCACACCGCTTCCGGATCCTGCCCGGACGTCACTTGCCCCCGGCCCCACCTGTCAGAAACGCAGCTGCCTCCCCGGATTTCTACCATTTCAGACGTTCGCCCAAAAGCCCAGCCGGGCCCGGCAGGTGCAAACTTCTGGGGCGGACATTGACCCCGGGCGGCCGACTCACATCTGCGTCCCGATTCCTGACACGGCGCTTGCAGAGGCTGTGTTGGACCCGCAAGAGGGCCGCCCGGGCCCCGTCTGGCCAGCACGGCGCCGCCCTCACGAAGTCTCCTCCCGCTCCGCCTGTCAGGGCGCGTCCGCAGACGCTACCGGACCTCATCTCCTGCTCTACCAGACATGGGTCTCCAAAGAGAGCGCTGCAGATGCTGACCTGCCCGGGGCATACTGAGTCGGCGGTCAACCCCGAGGCGCCTGGCCAGGGAGCAGCCAGATGGGGGTCCCCTTCTGGAATCCTGGGGCTTAAAAACCCCGGAGAACGACCATAAGCAAAAGGAGCCGGCGCTTCCTCACATGTCTAAGCACAGCCTCATGCGGGCCGTGGCTCTGCCCCAAGGGCCTTGTGCTGGCCTCGATGATGGGATGGCACTGCCCACGGCCCAGCTGGGCAGCCCTGCGTACTGGAAAGCCCTTCGTCAGCTTGGGGTCCCTGTCTGCGGAACCAGGTCCCACCCTGGCTACCTTCAGCGGGTTTCCCTCCTGCTGCCCTGGGGTGCCCAGCTTGCGAGTTCTCATAGAGATGCTGGTCCCTAAAATCCAACAGGGTTTTTGAGACGGGAGCATTGGCTCAACCACAACACCAGGCCATACCTCGAGAAGCTGGAGCTCTGCTGAGGGCGTCCGAGGGCTAGGCCCTGCCAACCTGTCCCCAGCCGGGAGCGTCCGCTCCTTCGGCCCATCGAGACCCAGACAGGACAGCCCCGGACATGCGGCTCCGCACAGAACCTGTTGCTCCGCGGTCCATGAAGAGGGAGCCCGGCCTCTAGCAGGGCACGGGTTAAATCGCCGTTGTGGAGCAGAGACCAGAAAGCCTGGCGCAGGCCTCCTGCTGCCATGAAGCGCACCCCATGGAAGCGACGTGGCCCGGCGGGCGTCCAGGAGGGCAGCACGGCCGCGCCTCAGGCATGAAACCCTAGGCCCCCAGACGCCGCACGGCACGGCGGGTCTCCAGTGAAGCTCTCCTACTCCGTGAGCCAGACCACTCTGAGTCCCCCAGAACCCCAAGGCCGGGCTAGAGCCGGGCTCTTCGACATCAGGGCTGGCCTCAGCCCCAGGAAAAGCGGTGGAGCTGGAAGGGCTCAGCGGCAGCTCCAGCCTGCAGGCAGCGAGCGACACGACGCGAGGGAGCATCCCAGAAGCAGGAAGTTCCGCTCCAGTGCCAGGGACCCACCGCACGCGTGGCCCCGGCGGCCAAGAGCCTACCTCCTCCCTGCATCATCTTGTAGATCTTGCTCTCGATGTGGAGCTGGGGGTGTTTGGTCTTGACACACTCCAGCTTGATGGCGACTTCTTCTCCGGCAGCGATGTCCGTACCTGGGCGAGAGGGGAACCGCAGGTGAGCGCCGGGGCGGCCAGAAGCAGTGAACGTGGCTCTCCTGGGCACCAGCAGGGCCTGTGCTCTGCCCAAAGGGGGCGCCAGTGGCTCCAAACCCGGGGAAATCACCCTCATTTTCACTTTTTAAGGAGGAGCATCTGGCGGGCAGGGAGAGGTCTCCCTGGCGCAGCCTCGCCAGTCCCCAGCTCTCGTGTCTGACCATCCCGTCCCTGCGGGTGAGGTGACCATCACCCGCCGAGGCCAGGCCGCAGGGGAGCAGCAGGGTGACCCCTGGGTTCCCAAGTCATCCCCGTGGGGTTGCCACGCCGCCATCGCAGGCCTCACAAGCCCAGTGTGGAGAACACGACCCGCCGCCCTGGCCGGGGCACTTCCGAGCACCACACGCGGGGGTGGCGGGAGGCAGCGCGAGGCCCCTCGACCAGGCTGAGCGACACCCTTCCTGGGACAGGACGCCGGGCGCTTCTCCAGCCCCGTCAGAGCTGCCGCCCGCCCACCTGCCGCTGAGTCGCCAGCGGTGGTTCAGAGACAAACCAGAGTCCGCTTCTGCAAACATCCACCTCCGGGTCACCCCAGCAAGGGGCGACCCCACTCCTCGCGCAGCCCGCAAGGCCCGCGCTGGGCCGCGGCCAGAGGCAGAGCCCCGCACCCAGCAGCGGGAAGGCGCTCGGGGGCCCCGACAGGGCCGGGGTCCCTCCCGCAGGGCGCTGTAGCCTGGCGCAGGGCCCGGCCGGAGCCGCTGACTCAGCCGCCCGCCAGCGGGACGGGCAGGCGCCGGGAGGGACAGTCCCGCCCCGGAGCCGCCAGATGGACGCGCTGCCGAGCACAGCGGCTCGCGGCTCCCAGGGGTAAGGCCGGCGAGCGCCAGAGCCGCGGACCGCTGCCTGCCGTCCGCCCAGCCTGCCCGGAGGAGCAGGGACGGCCGCCTCCTGCCAACCTGGACTGGAACCAGCCGCCGAGGTGAGGCCGGGAGCCACGCCTGCCCCCAGGCTGCCAGCCCCGGGCGCCCTCTGCCCGGGCGGGCGGATCCGCGATGCGAAGCGACTTCGTGGCCCCGCGACGGCCTGGCCCCTGGGCCCGCGTGCCACCCAGAGCGTGACTCACCCTCCCGGCTGGGCCACAGGACCAGCACCCCCAGGCGGGGGCTGGCGCCCTGCCCCGCGGCGGCCACAGAGCAGAGCCTGACGGTCGGCGCGGGACGCGGCCAAGGACCGCGGGCACCCGACACCCGTGGGGCAGGCGGACCGGCCACAGGGCGCAGGCCCGCCGGAGGGACGGAGCAGCCCCCGCGGAGGGCGGCGCTCCCCAGCCCGGCCCCCGCCCCCGGGCCGCACCCGCCGCTCTCGGGAGAGGCCGGGGCTCCGGGTCAAACCCCGGGGCGGGCGGCGGAGGCGGGCCGGGGGCGAGGTCGCTCCGAGGGGCGGCGGCTCCGGGCGGGCGGGGCGGGTCCTGCCGAATGTCCGCGGCGCCGAGTCCGGGGCCGGCGCGGCGAGGGCGGGGGCCGCGGGGCCAGGCTTGCGGGAGGGCGCGGGCCGGGGCGCCAGGGGGGCGCACGGGGGGCGCGTCCACCTGCGGCTCCGGGGGAGGCGGCCGGGCCGGCGGCGGGGCCTGGCAGCGCCCGGCTCGGGTCCGCCGCGGGGGCACGGGGGTCAGACCCGGCCCGAGACGGGCCCGGGGCCCCGCGGCCCGCCCCCCACCCGGCACGGCCCCGGGGCGCCCCCCGCCGTGCCGACACCCCAACGCGCCTCGACCGCACCCACCGGGCGGCGGGGGCGCCCCCCGGCCCTTCCCCGGGACCCGGCGGGCGGGCCGCTCGCGCAGGCGGCCGGGGAGGGGGCCGGGGGGCTGGAGGGCCGGGGGGGTCGGGCAGGCCGGGGGGCTGGAGAGGCCGGGGGGTCGGGGAGCCGGGGGGTGGCCGGGGGGGGCCGGGGGTGCGGGGGGCCGGGGCGGGCGGGGTCCCCGCGGGGGCGCCTCACCGAGGTAGATGTCTCCGAAGGAGCCGCTGCCGATCTTCCGGCCCAGCCGGTACCTGTTCCCGACTCTGAGCTCCATGGCGGCGGCGGCGCGGCCCGGCTCGCTCCTGCCCGCCCGGCCGCTTCCTGGGTCTGCGCTCGGGGAGGCGGCGCCGCGGCGGCCGCTACTGCGGGTCCGGCTGCCGGCTCCGCCCCCCTCACGGCCCCGCTTTCACCATCGCTTTCCGGCCGCCCCGCCGCTCCCAGCGCCTCAATACGGGGCGGATGGGACAGTCCGAGCGCCGCCGCCCCTGCTCCGGCCCCCGCCGGCCCCGCTCGCCCTCTCCCCGCCGCGGATGGACTCGGATCTTCCGGGCCTAAATTCCCCCTCAGCGGCCTGAAGGAGCCGCCGCCATCGCGCTGTGACGTCACTTCCCCTAGCAACGCGGCGGGGCGGGGCGCGTCGCCCGAGGGGCGGGGCCGAGGCTCCGGCGGCGGGGCGGGGCGGGGCCCGGGGGGGGCGGGGCCGCGGGCGGGCGGGGCGGGGCCGCGGGCGGGCGGGGCGGGGCCGGGCGGGGCGGGGCCGCGGGCCGGCGCGCGAGTTGGGGTCCCCGGGACCCCACAGCCTTCCGGGCGCGTCTCCCGCGCAGCCCGGGCCGGCGCCTTCCCGCCCGCGGACTCCGCGCGCTCCGCGGCCCTTCCCGGCCCCGACCCCGTGGCCGCAGCGGTGGCCGCGGGCTGGGGGGACACGGCCTCGGGGCGCGGGGTCCGCCCGCGGGTGCCCAGCGCCCTGGGCGAGGGAGGCCGGGCGCGGGGGGGGGGGTGCCCCGCGGAGGGCGCGGTCCGGCGCAGGCTTGGGGGGAAGCGGCCGCCCCTTCTCTCCGGCCCCGGCCGCCCGCGCTGGGTCCCCCGCCTCGGCCGAGCGTCCCCCTCGCCGGGACCGCCCTCCTCGCCCCGACCCGACGGAAAGGACCCGACGGCTCCTCCGGGCCGGCCCCGGTCAGCGCAGGGGCGGCAGCAGCAGGGCTGGGCGCGGGAGCAGGCCCCGCAGGGACCAGCCGCCCCCCCCAGACGGCGGTCCCAGGTCCGGGAGGGCGTGCCCGGGAGGGCAGCCGCTGCACGGCCCCCGGGTGGACCCTGGGGACGCGCGTGGCCCAGGCCCCGCCCGCCGGTGCACGGCCCCGTGACGCCCGGCGGCGCGGCGCGAGTCCCGAGGCGCCCTGGGGTGGCAGCCCGCGGAGATGCCCGGCGGGAGGCCTGGCGGTGACCACGCGCCCGCGCGGCTCCTCAGTGGTGACAGGCGCGGCCGGCTGGGAGACGGCAGGGGGGTGGCTGGGGGCCGGTGGCGCGGGGGGCGGGCGGCGTGGGGGCGGGCGGCGCGGGGGGCCGCGGCGTGGGGGCCGGCGGCGTGGGGGCGGGCGGCGCGGGGGGCCGCGGCGTGGGGGCCGCCGGCGCGGGGGCCGCGGCGCGGGGGGCGGGCGGGCGCAGGGCCACAGCCCGCTGCCCACTGGCATCTGCGCTCCGTGGTGTCCCCGCGCGGTGAAGGGCCCTTGGCTGCGCGTCCCCTGCCAGCGGGTGTTGGGCTCCAGCCTGGCGTCCCTGGGGGGGCTGCCCGCGCACAGCACACCTGGGCACACCTGGGCGCCTGGTGGTGGGGGCTCCTGGCCACCCCGGTTTGCCGTCGGGTGCGCCTGGGCGCCGTCCCCGGGCCCCACGCCGGGAGAACCGGAGAGGCCAGAGCACCGGGCCGAGCGCGGCGGGGGGCGGGGGGCGGGGGGCGGGGGGGGGGCGGCCTGGCCCGAGCTGGGCAGCGCCTGCTGGGCAGTGCGCCCGCAGCCCTCGGGGGCGCCAAGGCCGACTGGGGCGATTCCTCCGCGCGGCCTCGGTCAGCGCCGGGGGGGTGGGGGTGGGGGGGGGACGGGGCCGGGCGCGGGGGGGGGGGGGGGGGGCGGGCGCCCGACGCCCACTCCGAGGACGAGGACGAGCGAGCAGGCAGCCGGGACGGCGTGGCTCCTGCCCGCGGCGGGGTTGCGGCTGCGGCGGCCGGGAGGGGCCCAGCCGGACAGCCTCGGGGGTCGTCGGTGCGCCCCGCTGCGCCCCTTCTCCCCGCTGCCGGTCCTCCCTTAGGGGCCGCGCGGGCTCCCCGCAGGTCGGCCCGGCCCGGCGTTGGGCGCACACGCCTGCCGGAGCCCCGCAACGCGCCCCCCCAGCGGCCACGGCCTCGGCCCGGGAGGGGGGATGGGGTCGAGGCTGGAGCACAAAGGAGCCGCGCCCCCCTGAAACGAGGGGGGGGCGCGGGGGCTGGTGGAGGGCAGTGCTGTTGGGGGGTTTGCCTGGCCAGGGCGGCCAGGGGTGCCATAGGGCAGGGCGTGCAGATGGGGTGTCGCAGGGCCAGACACAGGTGGGGGGTGGCGGACACGGCCTTGGACGGACTCTAGGGTCCCCCTGTGCCCACTGCCCCCGAAAGAGTGACCGCTGGCGGGGGCGGAGCCCATGTGGGAGGGGGGCAAGGGACCCCACCTCACCCCACCCCACCCCACCCCACCCCACCCCGCAGTCAGACCCAGCCCCCGCGGCCAGCTCAGCCACTGTCCCGCCTCGGTGCCAGTGGCCGGACGTCTCCCCTTTTCTGAGAAAGCCCGACCTTCGGAGCTGCTGCGGCGGGCGCTGTGGTGGACAGCGGGGTCTGGGTGGACTCGCTGGGCCCCGCGGGGGTGTGGGGGGCGGGAGGGAGCGGGGAGGCCCCTGGCCCGGCGTCTCCTCCAAGCGGCGTCCAGAGCGAGGAGGCTTCTCCACCCGGCTGTGCGCTGCTGGGGGTGCCGCCCCGTGAGCCCTTCCTCCCTCCAGGGCCCGCGTGTGCTCTGGGGCCTGGGCCGGTCCCGCAGCCCTGCCGGCTCTGGGAGCGCAGGCCTCGCGGCTTGGCCCTGGCCGCGGCAGGGCGTCTGCGGAGGCCGCCCGAGTGTCACGGAGGGACGGCGCCCGCTGGCCACGCTGGAGGCCGCCCCGGTGCGCGCAGGGTGTCCTTCGGGGCCCCGGGGAGGAGGCGGCCCCGGCTGTCTGCGGGCTGTGGGGCACGGGCTAGGACCGGGCAGGCCCAGGGCCCGGGGAGCCGGCCTCAGCCCCGGGGTTCCAGGGAGGCACCGGCCAGTGTCCACCCCTCCCAGGCTGGCGCTCTCCGGTGTCGGGCCCCATGCCTGCGCCTCCGGTCCGGGTCTCGCTGCCCCCGCTCCGGGCTCCTCTGTCCCCGCCAGCGCCCCACATCTCTGACTTTGGGGGTGAGCCCTGCAGTGCCGCAGAGTCCAGCCTCCCTGGCTTTGGAGTCCCCAGGCCGGGGGCGAGGGGGTGCTCCGGCCCACCCAGCGCCAGGGAGTGCGTGGAGGGGCGGGGAGGGCGCCGCCTGCGGCCTCCGCCTCCTGACTGTCCGCCAGGGGCCGCCGCCTCCCCCCCACCCCCCGCCAGGCGCCCGCCGCCAGCTCCCGCCGCCAGAGGGCGCTGCCCCCCCACTGCCTTCCCGCCGCCGGCGGCCGGGTGGGTGGGGGCCCAAGGCACCCCCGGGGCCAGGTGTGCTCGGCCGCCCTGCTGCGTGCGGCCGGGTGCTGGACACCCCGTCTTGCCGCGCTCAGAGTCCAGCCGCAGCAGGGGCTGGTGCAGGCGACGCTGCTGCCCCTGGGCTCCCGCCCCACTCGGGTGGGGACGCCTCAGACCCCACAGGGGCCCGGCCGGGAAGCTGGAAGGCGGGGGCGGGAGCCGGGCCTGGACCCCCCAGGGGGTGCACGGGGAGGCCGTTGGGCCGTCGGGCGTGGCCGCACTGCAGGGAGCAGGACAGTGCGCGCCGGGCGGGTCCCTGCCCAGAGCTGGCCCTCCGGGGGCCACAGGGCCTGCAGTCTGGGGTCGGGGCCTCGGGAGACCCTGAGCCCAAGGGGCGGGTGGACTGGGGGGCGGCTGGGGGGGCGGGCGTGGGGAGACCACCCCACCTCCCCGCGCCGGGGACATGGTGGGCCCAGCCGCCGCCTGCCCTGCTCAGGGGCCAAGTGAGGGGCCCGGGCTTCGGGTACAGCCGACCTGCCCGCTGGGGCCGCCCCTGCTCTGCGGCCAGGCACAGCCCGGCAGGGGCGCGTTCAGCCGCGGCCCGGTCCCACGGGTGGGCAGCTAAGGCCGCGGCCCCAGCGGACAGTCAGGCCCAGAGAGGCCAGGCCCGCCCGGCTCCGCTGGCCCCTCTGGCCGTGGGCCGCGTCCGGTGAGAGCTCGCTCTCCAGAGACCCCGAGCGCCCGCACGTCGAGGGCCAGCTGAAGGTCAGCCTCCCAGGCCACGCTCTCGGTCACACGCCAGGGCCACTTTGGTGCCAGTCTTGCCTCCCTTGGGGAGGCCCTTCCAAGAGGTCGGGGTCCCCCTGCGGGGAGCCCTCCCTCCTGGGTCCCCCATGGGTTCCGGCCGGCCTGCGCGGGAACCCTGAGGCTGAGCCTCGGGGAGCCAGGAAGCCCGGGAGGAGGGGGTCGGGGCCGGGAGCGGGAGGGGCGGGACCCTGGAGGGGCGGTGGTGGTTTGGGGGTGGTGACAGCGGCGGCCCGGGACTGGGGTTCCCACAAGAAGGCACCGGGACGGCAGGATGTGGCCTGCGCGCAGCAGACGTAAACAGAAACCCCCTCCCCCCACCCCGCCCCCGCGTCCGCAGCGTCCAGCTCCGCTGGCCGCGTGAGGCCTGGCCAGGCTCCTCCGAGTGAGCCGCAGGCGGCTGCTGGGGTCGGGCTGGCTCCGGCTCCCGAGGCCCCGGCTGCGCGGGCAGGCGCTGGCCCGAGCGGGGACCGTCCTCAGGCGCGGCCTGGGTCAGGCGGGCGGGCGCCTCTCCGGGTCTCAGAGAAGCGGAGCCCCCAGGCTGCTCTCGGGGGGCAGCGGGCTGGACACGGCCTGGCGTGCTTGTCCCGTCGGGCCACGGCCCCCAGGGCGGGTCTGGGCAGGGAGCCCCCTCCCACGGGGCGCGGCCTCGAGGCTGGGCGCAGCGGGTGGACTCCAGGGCCTGAGCGAGAGGGGCGGGGGCTCGGGTGGGGGGGGCTGCCTCCTGAGCCAGCAGCCCCCGCCTGGGGTCCCGGCCAGCGCCCCGTGCCAGGTTGGGGGGAAGTGGGGTTCAGAGGATAGGTCCTTGGGTCAACTCTGGGCACAGTTTCACCAGAGCCCCTTCTCAACAGCACCCCGTGTTCCCCCAAGGCAGAGAGGTCACTGCAAGGGCACAAGGGTCCCCCGACTTGCTGGAGAGTGCGCCTGGGGGTGGCCGACTGGGGCTCCGGCCCTCGGCCGCTGTGGGCACCCCTTGCCCGGTGAGGGGGCACAGCTGTGTGCCGGTCACCTGGGTCAGCGGTGGGCGGGGCCCCGGGCTCCTGTCGGGCCGCAGGTGGCGGCGGGGGGGCTGCAGGCGCAGGGCCCAGTGTGA